TGAGTTGTGAATTTAAGTCCTTCATGTGTCTCTTGCGCCTTTCCCTTGCATTAAACTCCTTTTACCACTGCAATTCCTTCCACCTCTCAAAACCACCACCCTTTCACATCGCTCTCTCCAAAAAATGACCAAGAGCTCTCACTCTTCTTTTTCGTTTCCCTCCTCCACTTCCGGCCTCCCGCGGCTTCTTCTCATGGCGGCAGCGGCGGTCATTGTCTCCCTACTTTTTGTCACATCCGCTGCCACACCCATCTCTAACCCAACCGATGCTACACCAAGAAACCCCCACCGCCTCCATAGTCAAGAAACCCACCACCACGGTGAATGCGATCATCAGACTTCAGCTTCGGAATCGTCGAGCGCACAATTACGTTCTTTGTGCCTTCAACTCACCCACCACAGAATATTCCACGCCAGCCTTCCCCTCTCACCGCTGTCACCGGTATCCCCATCCGGCCCCTCGCAGCCGGCTCCTGGCGACCGTCAAGATGGTCACGAGATTGATCCAAGATACGGTGTGGAGAAGAGATTAGTCCCCTCCGGTCCCAACCCTCTTCACAATTGAAAGTCCAGTCCACTACCTCATCAAGTCACCCTGCACCCCAAGTAACGTCCTCATCAAAACAAATTTCTGAATTTTTTACCATGGATATATTATATTTATCGTTCTTGATCGGTTCTTGAGCGTTTCTTGGCATCTCTCATCACCAAAGTCGTTCTTGCCCTGCTCGTTTCTTGATCGAGCGCCCAAAATCGAGCCGGTTTTCCGTCTTCCGGCTGAAGTGATATGAACGACGATCATGCACGGGGTAACATTACCATCGAGGAGCTAGCGAGTTCTTGAATTAATTCATCCTCTTATTATAATTAAGTGTACTAGTTTATATATTTTCTTAATTACTTGCTACTAGATCGTTCTCTCGCCATGCACACACTATTTCCATGCTTGTTTTTGAACATATCATCACTACCTTAAATTTGTTTAGTATAGTTAAGTCGATTTAATTAGTAAGTAATTAAAGTCACGAGACAAGTTTTTGTGGAAGCAGCAAAAACGAGCACGGAAATGGTCCTCAAATTTTCTTGAATTGATGTTCTTCGCGGGATCATGCAGCTCAAAAGAAGCCCATGAATGTCATAAATAGATTTGGATCTACAGCTTTGTTTTCTGAGGTCAAAGTGGACTTGTACCATGTGGGTCCGAATTTAGATAGTCAGTTGAAGCTTTTGTAGCTATGAAATATATGAATGAATTTAATTTAGATTTCGGGTTTTCAATTTTTGCCTTTTTCACTTTTTGCCCTCACTTTATGTTCATAAGTTTTCCATGAATATATAACATGTTTCATGTTGCAATTCAGTGGAAATTTTTAGTGTGCGGAAATATGGCTCAGTGCACAAGTGTCAAAATCAACCAATTTTATTATTACATTTAGTGTACTAGACCGTTTCTGATACACTAAAAAATTTATTGCAATTGAGGTGTCGTACTTGAATAAATTTGTCAACCAAGAGAATAGCATCTCCCATTCCCATATAAGGTGAGGTGAATCCCGTGACACAATTGCTCTTTGGATAATGAATGTGTTTCCCATGATATTCGTAATATAAGAAAGTCCTCAATTTCATATATCTCTCGCTTTCCTCGTAAAATAAGGTGAAATATAAATTGCATATATCATGAAGGTGCATTTAATAATGAAACGCGTTATTGGGTGTAAACAAAAATATTCAGACCATACCTTACAAGTTCGTGGAGTAAATTGGCTAATACATGTGTACTTTTTTGAACAACACCAAGGATAAAATCGAGTTCTTATTATAGATGTATTAGCAGAAGACAACACTCTATCCTTAAGATTAGAATGTTATTTCGAAAAATTAAGAATAATAAAGTTTGAGAATACAAGGAAGAATCAAAAGATGCATAAAATTTATAACTCAGTTGATTAAAGTCATTTATTTTTTTTGAAATTTGAATTCGAACTCCCGTTGCTCAATACCGCTCGAGTAATACTGAAAAGAGAAAAATGAAGGGCCCAAAAAACGGCCCATGTGTACACCCGTAGATAAAAACTAGACCGGGCTCAAAAGAAAAACCCGGGAGGAGGCCCAAAGAAAACAAACCCGTAGGAGGCCCGACCAATAGAAATGAAGGAAATAAAATTAAATAAAATTTAAAAATTAAGAAAAAAGAGTCACCGACGGACGAAAGCAGAGTTCCAATTCCGCGTTTGGCAGAAGACTGAAGACTTTGGAGAGATTATCACTAATCTCTCAGCTAATTACTTAACAAATCATAATTAAGTACAGTGGTTTATATCTAATCAGATAATTAAATGCCGCTTGCTTAATCCGAGTTGAAACTGTGTGCGAGTGAAGAAGTCCGAGATCAGAGATCTCCGAAATTCTCTTTTGGAGATGACAATGGCGCTTCGTCTTCCAATTGCCGCGTTTTCTCTGGTCCTCCTCCTCCTCCTCCTCGTCTTCCCTCCGCTGCTTCTCGACGCCAAAACCCTCAAACGCGACAGTAAGTCCTCCCATCTCTCTCTCCCTCTCTGCGATTGTGATTTGGTTATGGTAATTGGTGGTTTCTTTGGGCAGTGAAAGCACTGAACGAGATCAAGGCGTCGCTGGGTTGGAGAGTGGTGTACGCCTGGGTCGGAGACGATCCGTGCGGAGACGGCGACCTTCCGCCGTGGTCCGGCGTCACTTGCTCCACTCAAGGGGATTATCGAGTCGTCACCGAATTGTAAGAACATCACTTCTTCCACATTCCATTCGATTCGATTTCCCAGAGTTTTTAGTTTTAACTGAAGATTGTGCATTTATGTGTTGTTTTTGGTTTGGAAATTTGCAGGGAGGTTTATGCAGTCTCAATTGTTGGGCCTTTTCCTACTGCCGTCACCAATCTCTTGGATCTCACTAGGCTGTAAGAACACACACCTCTTCAATCTTCTGGTCTGTAATTTCTTAGCAATTATCACAATTAATACAAACTGACGTTTCAAAATCTTTAATTTGTAAGTTGCAAATACATCATTAATAACCCATAAGTTGTTTCTTAGTTTTTGTCAACACTCATGATCTTTGTTTTAAAAAATCTGCTATATATGTAAGTGACTCTGTCTGTGTCACAGGGATCTCCATAACAACAAGTTGACCGGCCCAATTCCTCCGCAAATCGGACGTTTGAAGCGTCTCAAAATGCTGTACATCCCCTTCTCTATTTCTTTTTATTTAAGATTAATTTGGTTTCTACTGAACATCTATGCTTAGATTTCTAGTTCTTTACTAATTATCGTTGCTTCTCAGTAACTTGAGATGGAATAAGCTACAAGATGTCATTCCTCCGGAAATTGGTGAACTCAAGAGTTTGACCCATTTGTGAGTGAATTTTGATTCTTTCTTTCGCAATGTCTTTGAAATTTTCTTGTTTGGACTACTAATTCACCATGATTTACTTATTCACTAGTTTTTGTCTACTAATCATTTGCAGACATCTAAGCTTTAATAATTTTAAGGGGGAAATCCCGAAGGAGCTTGCTAATCTTCCTGAGCTTCGTTATCTCTATCTGCAAGAAAATCGCCTTGTTGGGAGGATTCCTCCAGAACTAGGAACTCTGCAAAATCTTCGGCATTTGTATGTTTAGATAATTCTTAACATGTATGTTGTTAATGATAATGCATCTGTATCTGGTTACTAACGCGTGTGCCGTTGATGCTATTTGTTCATAGGGATGTTGGTAACAATCATTTGGTGGGTACTATTAGGGAACTCATACGTATTGAGGGCTGCTTTCCAGCTTTGCGTAACCTGTAAGTTAATCCAAGTTGGTGAATACATAATTACTTTTACCTCTAGTATAAATGACATGAAAGATTAAGTGAATCGTTTTGAAACTGGGATATGCAGTTACCTAAACAACAACTACCTTACGGGAGGGATTCCAGCACAGCTCGCCAACTTGACCAAATTGGAAATCTTGTATCTCTCTCTCTCTCTCTCTCTCTCTCTCTCTCTCTCTCGTTCTTTCTTTCTTTCTTTTTTCTCATTGGAAATCTTGTATGTCTCCTTTGAAGTTTTGCTTCTGAACTCTTGAGTTACTATCATCATCGAGGATGGATTTTATTATGTATTTACCGGAGAAGAAGTTTGTTGGGTTAATTCTTTTGCTTGTTTACAGGTACCTATCGTACAACAAGATGTCTGGGATTGTTCCATTAGGACTTTCCCATATTCCGAGATTGACTTACTTGTGAGTTTCTTCTTATGATATTTATTCTCTTTGCATTTGTGCTATACTAGTTGGTGTCGAAGGGTACTTATCAAGGAGTTGCCTCCTCTTTCTTTATCCCAATATTCAACTTGAATCTAGACTCTTGCGATATCAGCGAACTTAATATCATTAGTATAGCAAACCTTGGGCTAACTGAACAACCTTGACAAAGGATCTACCCTTCACATAAGATTGAGGAATGAATATATAATTTCTTTCATTTCTGATTGAGATTTTTTTTATTTTTTTATTTTATCGATTTTAGGTACTTGGATCACAATCAATTTTCTGGGAGAATTCCCGATGCCTTCTACAAACACCCATTTTTGAAAGACATGTAAGTTTCTGTCTGGAACTCGGAAACTTTTAATTCCTGAAATTATGTAGCAGATTATTTGATATCTTTGTTGCATGTTCATCACAGGTATATTGAAGGGAATGCATTCCGACCAGGCGTAAAACCAATAGGCATACACAAAGTTCTCGAGCTCACTGACACGGAATTTCTCGTTTAGTCAAAAGACATCGAACTATTATTTATTTGTTTTAACTAATTGTGCTTAGTACTGCCCAAACAAGGGTTCACATAGTCGCTGAATCAATGAAATAGAAATCTGTATCGACGAAGTTTTGCCGTCACTGGTGAGTTCCTATGTTGCTACCTCCCCAAGGAGTTGCTTATATGGAAAATAGTAGCAGGTAATGTTAGGACTTCGGAAGTCGAACATAAAAGCTTTGATTTAAGTCTTGTCAACTAGAAACAAATATTGATCGCTGCCTGAAAAATCCAAGTGCTTTTTTATGGTCTCCAAAACTAATTGAATTTCGTCCATTTTCGGGTGAGTTTTCTCCGCCGCAATGAATTCATGAACTGCCCTATTGATCTCGACCGAGCTGCAACCCGGAGCCTTCTCTACTCCTCTGTTTCTCATCAAATTCCTCATTCTTCTGGCATCACCATGCTTCCCCGAAGCTGCGTATAAATTCGAGAGCAAGACATAGACCCCACTGTGCCTTTCCAGCTGAAAGAGCTTCTCCGCAGCGACCTCAGCTAGTTGAGCTTGTCCATGATTGCAACAAGCACTGAGAAATGCTCTCCAAGCCACTGCTTCTTCGGAGGGTTTACTTGAAGTGGGTATTCTTTCAATTATCCCCTTTGCTTCTTCGAAGAGCCCAGCGCGGCTTAGAAGGTCAACAATACATCCAAAGTGTCTGCTTTTCGGCTCAATGTTGTATATCCTATGCATTTTATCAAACACCTTCATTCCTTCATCTGCCATGCCGGAATAACTGCAAGCAGTAAACAAAGCAATGAAAGTAACATCATCTGGCCTAACCCTAGCATCTTCCATCTCTCTAAACAGTTCAAGTGCACCTTCGCCATCTCCATGCATTGCCATTCCCGAAATCATCGCATTCCAGCAAACCGTGTCTCGTTGCAGCATTTCGTCAAACAGTCCTCTAGCCAACTCCAATCTCCCACATTTAGCATACATGTCGATAAGACCCGTGCTCAAACGAACACTCAACCGCAACCGAAGCCGATTCAAATACGAGTGAATCCAAATCCCAGTATCCAGAGCTCCCAAATGAGCACACGCACATAAAACACTCACAAAAATTGCCTCATCAGGTTCTATATCAGTAAACTGCATCAACCGGAACAAATAGAGACCTTCCTTGAAACAACTATTCTGCACATACCCAGAAATCATGGCACCCCATATTCCTCTGTCCATCACCGGAGATTCATCAAAGAACAATCTCGCCATGTCAAGATCGCCCACCTTTGCAAACCCAGAAATCATGACCGTCCATGAAACTACACTTAAGCTAGGCATTTCGTCGAACACGTACCGTGCACCCTTCATATCATCAAACGCACAATACATGACTACCAGAGAATTACCCACAAAGATATCAGAAACAAAACCCAATTTCAAACAGAACCCATGAACCAATTCCCCAAGACAAGACCTTTGCATCCTCGCACAAGCCTTTAACAAATAAGGGAGGGTATAATTATCTGGGCACATCCCGTTCTGCAACATCTTGGTAAACACATTGACGGTCAGGATGAGTTCATTTCTGAGCAGTGAAGATTTCAACATTGTGTTGTAGATGCAGACTGTGGGCTGTGGGATGTGTTGGAAGAGCTTCCAAGCATGGGAGAGGCTTCCATGGCGTGGGTCCGAGCAGAAGGCCAAGAGCCTGCTCAAAGCAAAGCTGTTGCTGCCGAGCCCAGATGTGAAGACTTGGGCGTGAGCTTGCTGCAAGTGCTTCATGTTCTTGCATTTCTCTAGCAGTTGGAGACATCTGCTGGTGGTGCTGTTGCTGCTGTAGGATGCCATGGGCACCCGACTCCTTCATGTTCAATTGATGGTAATGGAAGTGGGAAAGAATGGTGTGGTGTAGTTTTCGAAAGCCCATATGTGTTGGTTTGAGCGGTTTTAATAAAATAGATTCGGGTAAGAGTATCAGCAACAATGCTTTCATAGCTCAGTTGGTTAGAGCACCCGTTTAGTAAGCGGGAGGTCTTGAGTTCAACTCTCAATGAAAGCATCTTTCTATGTTTTTCATTCCATTATTTTTAGCTGAGAATGTTGAAGTGAGAATCAAAGGAGTGACTTTCCATCGGGGAAGGCTGGCATTTCTAGTCTTTTTCTCGGTTAAATATTCTTCAGCTCCTTATAGATAACGAGTCATTTCTCGATATTTCCAATTTAGATATTGCGACTAATTTTGTTGTTTCTTCTACTTTTACTCATTCATCTTCTTTGGAATATTAATTACTTTATTCGAAATATAAAGATTTGCATAAACGTTTCATAGAATTTTTTTCTTTTAGAATTCTGAAAGCTAAGAATCATTGAAAAGAAGCAATACTTTCCTTCACCAAAAAGCCCCAACTTGCGTGCAAAGTAAGCTCAAGCTTTCTTGCCAGCTTTGCCCTGAAACTAGCCTACTAACTAGCTTTCTTCAAGCTCTCATCTTCTCTAATTTATCCTTCAAATAAACACCAAACTATGAGCACCAAACCCTTATTCACAGAGTAGAAAATTCCGAGTTTGTTTCGTCTGAAAGAATGGAAGTTAACCAAATGAGGTAATTCGGCCCTTAACTCCTATAATATTCGACTTTGATTATGTAATTATGATTACTAATCACTATTGTTAGGGTGAGAATTTCCGGCGTAGGACAAGAGAAGACTGAAGAGTCAGGCAGCGTCTACGGCCGAAGAATACCGCCGCAGAAAACTGAGTCTTTCAAAGGTAACATATGGCTCTGTCTCTGCTGCATAATATGCAAAATGATTTGGTGAGGGAACAAATTTTGGTAGTGGTTTAAGCTATTTCTTGCAGAGAAAAGGAAGACCCAGAACTGGTTCCAGAGACGGCTCTCAGGACAAACGAGTCAGGATTATGATGCTAGCAATGCAATGAAGCATGCAACTGCGGTGGGAGCTGCTGCATTCGCCATCAAATCAATCGAAGATTCGGCCATCTCTGATAAGAAAAAGACGGGCTATGAGCGTAAACCAACTACCGAGAGGATCAAGAGCGGAAAGGAAGAAACAACAATTTCAAAGCCGGTGTCTGGAAGTGGAAGATTTTCCAAAATATTCTCAGGTAAAGTATCTTATACGCATAACATTGTTAACGACCCTAAACACTGAGTTTTCAGCATTCAAACTAGAACCAAGAAGATGTTCTGTATTAGGTGCAGGTTCGACGAAAAGGACTCCAGAACGAGAAGATCCACATGGCAAGGTACCAATAAGCATTGCCACAACCGGGAAGAACCCTGAAAAGGCCGTCCTTCCTGCCCCATCTATCAAGAAAACTCCAACTTTTGCTGATAAACAGTCAAACAGCTCTGGCGGTGTAAACCCTGAAACTGCAGCGCCAAAACCCAATCTGTCCACAACTACGAAACCTGAAAGCCCTTGGAATGAAACCAGGAGGCCGAGTTCAACAGGACCTGGAACAACGAAAACACAAGCAGATATTTGGGAGGAAACTGAGATCGCTAGACTTAAAGAAAGGTAGCTACTCAGAAATCGGCGATCATTTTCATAATTTATAATTGAAACATCATGTTACATTTAGGTTTTGACAGCCACATCATTGTCAGGTATGAGAAAATAAACGCCACAATAGTTGCATGGGAGAAGAAGAAGAAGAAGAAAAGCACAAACCATCTCCATAAAATAGAGGTTTTGCTCCATTTTATTTTCATATATAATCAATAATCTGATCATGAACTAATATTCCACTTATTGGAAAAGCAGAGTGAAGTAGAGCGAAAAAGAGCAAAAGCAGTACTAAAGTTCGGCAGCGAGATGGAAACTATCAAACAGATTGCAGAAGGAGCTAGGGCAAAGGCAGAGGAGAGACATAGGAAAGAAGTCTTGAAGGTGAAAGAAAAGGCAAATGCAATGAGAACAACAGGGAAAGCTCCTAAAACATGCTTCTGCGTGTAATTAGACCAATTGCTCACATTTCTTTCACGATCCTGTATTTTCACTCAGAAAGTGTAATCATAATAAGAGTTCCACCGCATTATTAGCCGTACCATATCTAAAACATGTATAAATTAAACACAGAGGAATTTCCCAATTACAAACTAACTAATAGGCACTCATTTCATATAGCAAATTAGACATCATAGCCATATATTCATTTTCTGCGGATTTCAAATAAGCATGCATGTAAATTCACTACGATAATTTTCATTACCTCATCTAAAATAACATGAGCAACAATCTTGAGAGTACTCAAGCCTGGGCAAAAGGAAATCAGTTACTTCAAACAAATAATGATAGTTACATCAGTGATTGATCATTTAGACACAGAAGTCGGAACTTACAAATTACCCAAGAAAACTTGCCACATACACTCTTGAAACTTCCACTGTCAAACATGCAACAGAATCTGAGAAGGCTTTGGATAGCGAAGACTCAATTTGATGTGTCACGAGCTTATCTCCTTTACCAGCCTTTCCAAAATCGGGTATGCAAAGTACAATAACAAGACAGACGGAATTGCAAAAACAACTGTGAGTAACAAGTAGATTGCCAAAATAATAGCACTGCCAGGTATTGCGAAAAATGCAATCACGAGAAACAATATGACTAATGGGAACTTGGATGTAATGTGAATGAAGCAATCCAAAGACTTGTGCAGCGAGAATTGATGCCGCTCCACAGGGCCACCCCTATCATCACGGTTATGCCTTGAAAGTGAAGGACAACTAGAACGGTTCCTCCTCAGGTTACCGTTGGCAGCTTGATTTCCAATAGCCAAACTTGCTATTGGACAACCAATTAGTTGATTTTCCCCACTGATTGCAGGAATAAACTTTAACCTATCACCATTAAAGCTCTCAACCATCCATAGAAGGAAGAAATTCTTGCGAGGAAACTTTAGATTACCCTTATAAATCAGCCGCAAAGACAACAGGTGGCACCAAGGGCAAGAAATGAAAAATGGGATCTTAAACCTTTGAGAGGATAATTTTACGAGAGCCCATTGAAGCCCCAAGACACAGTTTCTACACAGGGTATGACCACACCATAAGACATGGGGCACATTCTCGACAATGTTGAAAGATTCCAGGCATATAGGGCATTCTAACCCTTCCTCTTGGCTTGAATTCGAGCAGACTTCATCGTCCGAGGAGTCCAAGCAAACCCGACTCTGCTCTGATGAGCTTCGTTTTAGTCCAACGCTTGTGATAGCATTTGAAGCAAAACCCCACATCGTAACAAATAAATAAGGGCGACACAAAATAAGGGGTTAATTACTAAAACTGCAGAAACTGCAACACCGTTCAACCATGAAACTTGAATCTTCAAAAATTCTTCAATTTTACCCTGTCAACAGTAAGCTAGTTCAGTTCCTACAAATTTGAATATCCTTTTTTGACGTGAACAAGTAATTTATTCAACAAAGACACAAAAACATGCATCACATTGGCAACCCCTGCAACAATAGACCAACCCAGCACCAAAAATCCTTAACACAAACTTGCTTGATGAAAATGGAAAGGGATCCTCTTCGGATCCCTTCCACCTAATCCACCGAATCCACCAATCCAGGCCCTTGAAATTTGATCTAAGGGCTAAAGTTATTAAAACTTTTAAAGGGGCCCCCTGTTTTGTAGCCGTTGAATCAAATTTCAAGGGTCCAGATTGGTGGATTCGGTGGATTAGGTGGAAGGGATCTGGAGAGGATCCCTTTCCGATGAAAATTACGTCCGAATCAAGACACCCCAATCACTTCAATTACCCATTTCACAGTAGAGTCATTATTACACCAGTGAAGTAGACACCTTATAATTTGCACAATCACTTAGCATACTGGGAAAAATCAAAGAATAACCAACAACAATTTAGGTTCTAGAACGTGAAATACTTTACCATTCTCTAAGGTTAACATAAAAACCCTTAAGTTTTAACACAATGCAGCATAATTTTAAAGTACCCACCAAAACTCATAAATTGATTTCTGGTGGAGAAACCAAAGTGCTAGGGTATGAACTACCCAACAAATAATTAAGCAAAATATAATTTGGGGTTCTAGTAATTTGCACGATCATAGCATTGACAGGCGAAATTAACAAGCTTTTAACAAGGAACAGAACAAACAATTATCCCAAAATTCAAAATTTCAATGCGGCATATATTTACGTAGATTCGAATCGACGATTAAAGCAAATTAAGATAAAACGAGGACGATTAGGAGGTCAAAATTTTACCTTTTGACAAGATTGACTGAAACTGCAGTGGGGGGATGTAGAAGGAGGGCGGAGAGAGAGCGGCAGATGAATGAGCGAGCAGAGCTCGGTTCCTCGGTTCATCTGTTCCTCTGCAGCTAGCGTGTTAAAAGAACAAAGAAAAGGAGCCGTAGAGAATGTAACGGTGTTAAAAATTAGAGTGGGTGCCAGGTGGCAAACCCGTGTCATAAGGATTCTGGTTTGTTTGGTCAACAAGGATTCTGGTTAGGTCCTCTGTTGGAAAAACAAAAGTAGAGTGGCCAATAGGAGATCAGAATAGGATGCAAATTAAATATTTTATTTATTTTTATCAATTTTTTGAAACCAACCGAGAAAAATCAAAGTTTTGTTGGGCAGACCTCATATAAATATAGATGGTTTGATGTGTCTAATTACGATAGTCCAAATTATTTAGTACTATGGAAAATAAACAGTCAAGATTGAATTAATTTAATGTTATTTTCATTTTGTCAATTCAATGGATATATAATCGGACTACTTTGTAAACCGGACTATTGAAGACTAACCCGTCTAACTACACCTAAATCTATTTTTCAAAAGAAAAGTATCACCTAAATCTATTTAGATTATGTTTAGAGACACCAATTTGGCACCGGATTTTTTTTCAGTTTAGTTGTTTCTCATTAATCAAATTTAATATAATGTAGAATTTACATATGGAATTTACAATATTCTTTTATTATGTTAGAAAAACTTTTATGCAACGAAAATACTGTTTTGTGACGATATACTTCAAATGAATCACGTTATAATGTTCACCGCATCATTGCCTTGCATTGTCACCTGACATATCTGTGTATCTAAGTTTCTCAATTAACTTTACGTAATTAATGATTAACGACGATTGCTGGATTAGTCCTTCATGAAACCTTGAGCCATCTTTAAATAGCCCCCAAATTTACCATGCCCACCCTCCTCCTCACCGTCATCCCTTTTAGTGTGCTTTTTCATGCCTTTACGGCTCTCCTCCGACCCAGAAGCTGAAGAATGAGAAGTTTTGTGGCCACCTCCCTCACCCTCTGTGCCACCACCGCCGTACTTGCGGAGCAAACCTTCGGCCTTGCCGATGTAACTCCCCATGCCTTCCTTCTCGTCGAAACCACCGTATGTGGAGGCAGCGCTTAGAACGGTGCTGGCAGCCTTGCAAACCTCAGCTTTGTCGTACTTCTCCCCTTTTGCCGCGCCCGCCACAATTTTCGCGCTCGACATCACCTCCCCCATCGATGGCTTCCCGCCTTTCTCCTTCGCTCCTCCCATTTTCCGCTCACGATGTTCGCCCTGATCATCCTCTTCATCCCCATGATGCCGATCCATTAGTTAATTCAAAGAAAATGTAGTAGTGCTCTATATTTTTGTATTTTTTTTCATAGAGTGATGAGAAATTGATTAGCTTATTGGTGAATATATACGACACTCTCAATGGGTATATATTCTCTCCACTTTGTGATGTACCCGTTTTTAATGCATTATCCACAAACAACTTTTATTTTGGGTGATGTTAATTGATGGTTCACTTTTTTTTATTCTTTAATTATCATAGAAAGCCAAATATTTAAGCAGAATTTTTGCGGCCACTCATTCCTCGAGAGAAAAACTTCAGGGCGCAACATCTAAATGTACGATCGATATTTCTTATATGCACTGAGGTTTTATTTGAAAGAAAAGTAGAGCCCCCAGAGAGATAAATCTTCTACATGACACAAACACAATTGCTTAAGAAATACATACACATAATACACAGGAAAACACGATGGGTCCGAAACAGAACAACAAGAAGGCCTAAAACCACATACAGAAAGTAAAACAAACTTTTAACTAACATCATAATTAAGTTAACAACTAATAAAGCCAAATAAGTGAGAGTGCCACAGGATCATGAGGATAATAACCTTACATAATTAGTGATTAATTATGACGATCATCACTTCTTCAAGAATCCCTGAGCCATCTTAAGATAATCACCAAACCCACCTGATCCACCCTCTTCCTCCTCCTCCTTATCCTTTTTACCATGTTTCTTCCCAGTCTCATGCTCTCCGCTCACCGGATAGTTCTCATCATCGTCTCTTCTCTCCTTCCCCTCACCATACTTATGAGACTCGGAAGAGTAGTGGCCTCCTCCTCCAGAGTTATGAGACTCAGAAGAGTAGTGGCTTCCTCCTCCGCCGCTTCCGCCGCCGCCGCCGCCGTACTTGTGAAGCATATCCTCAGCCCTTTTAACATAACTCCCAAGTCCTTCTTTCTCGTCCAGCTTCCCATAGTGCGCGGCAGCACTTAGGATGTTACTAGCAGCCTCTGAAACCCTAGCTCTGTCGATCTTTTCCCCGCTGCCTTTGTTCATCGAAGATTTGGCTGCTTCCGCCACAATCTTGGCACTCGACATCAGCTCGCTCGTCGTCGGTGCAGCATGTCCCGGTTTCCCGTAGTGGCCCTCCTGCTTCCCGTGGTGACCCTCAGCCGCGGATTTTCTCTCGCCATCATATTGATCTTCCTGGTCTTTGTCCCCATAACCTCCCGACCGGTAGTGACCCTCAGTCGTGGATTTTCTCTCGCCACCATATTCATCGTCCTGGTATTTGTCGCCGTATCCTCCGGACCGGTGGTGACCCTCGGTCGCGGATTTTCTCTCGCCACCATATTCATCGTCCTGGTATTTGTCCCCGTATCCTCCGGACCGGTGATGACCCTCGGTCGCGGATTTTCTCCCGCCACCATATTCATCGTCCTGGTATTTGTCCCCGTATCCTCCGGACCGGTGGTGACCCTCGGTCGCGGATTTTCTCTCGCCACCATATTCATCGTCCTGGTATTTGTCCCCGTATCCTCCGGACCGGTGGTGACCCTCGGTCACAGATTTTCTCTCGCCGCCATATTGATCGTCCTGGTATTTCTCCCCGTAACCTCCAGATCGGTGGTGACCCTCAGTCGCGGATTTTCTCCCGCCACCATATTGATCGTCTTGGTCTTTGTCCCCGTAACCTCCGGACCGGTGGTGACCCTCGGTCCCGGATTTTCTTTGGCCATCGTATTGATCATCGTAGTCTTTGTCCCCGTAACCTCCGGAAGAGAAAGCTGATGAAAGCCGATCCATCAGTGAGTGAAGAAAAGTAGAACAAGTGCTTTGCTTTGTAAGGAGGATTTGATAAAACGGGTTGAATCCGGTGACATATAAATTGACTTGCACATGCTTATCGGTGGTTGGATATTTGGATATATTTTATGATTGTCGGTGGACCTTTTACGTGGTGATGTTAAATCCACGTCTCGCTTAAAGAACAAAAGCCAAAAGGAAACATTTTCTTTATTTCAATCCCTTTAAGTCATTGCATTTTTCTTTACACAAATATTTATCGAAATTTCAAATTATAAAGATTTGACATAGCGATGAAAAATCACAGATGAGCAAGGACTGAGTTAATTTTTTTTTAGTGGAAGCCAATTTCAGGACTTTGAAAGTAAATTTTTTTTTTTATAATTTCATTGGTTTTATTTTATTTTCAAATTTTATTCAGTCAGCTTGTAGATATTTTTCACAATAATAACTTATCATACTTGTTGAAAATTTCAACCAAAATATTTAAATATGATAAATCTCCTGTAAGCATCTTGACTTTTTTCCTCTACACGAAACTTTAGTTGGGCCAGTTGCTCGTTATGAACTTTAGTTGTCTCTGTCCTTGCAACGAGGGATTAAAAATGTATTACTTGAATATAAAAACGGCCTGATAAAGAGATTTGTATATAACCATTTGGGATGAATAATTTACAAATCTGTGTCACATATTTTTATAATGCTCATGAGCTCTATTTTCTAATAATTCCCACCTATTTTTTCTGATCTATTTCTTCTTTATTTGATCTATATGTCTTAGAATTTAAAAATAGCTCATCCAAACAATACCGTAATAAAATTTCTTCCAATAAAAACAAATGAATCCTTAATGGAATTGCATTAGCAACATATTTATAGAGAGCGTAACATAAGCTAATCGTTTTACCTAACCTAGAAATTAACCTTGAGTTGAAACTTACTTCGTTATTGTGTTAAGTTTTTTTTTTAGATGATGGTTTACCAAGTGTTTTTAGGCATCTAAGCTTTATGTTGAATTTTTTATTCAAGGATACGTATAGTACAGTAAAAAATTCTTGATGAATCATGTGAAGACTAAAGAAAATGATCCGAACAGACACGATTACAGAATCTCTAAAAAATAAATTCGTCGAGGATCCTTTTTCGAAGAATAACTCCTACAACAAACCCCTTTTGGACTTTTGGTTCTGGACTTTGGACATGAGCAACCCCTGCTAGCCACACGATTTTTGTGATTGTGGCTGTATCTTATCCTGTTTCATATTTAACATTTTGGTCCACTCTTACAGACACGTTGACATATATATATTAGATTGAAATTATCTTTAAAATAGTTGAAAGCTATTTGAATTAAAATGTTTTTGGAATCAATTTTAGGTAAAATTTTAAGTAAATTTTGAAAAAAGTGATTTCTATAAGAAGCGCATAACTTGTGCTTCTAACATAAAACAGTTCGAGTGCTTTTGAAATCTAAACACATTTTCTCTAAAAGTGATTTTAGTCAATTTAAAAATATTTTCAAAAGAGCCATATGTTTAGTTACATTTGATTAATACATATTATTGGATTAATATTTGATCAATGTTATTTATTAATGTGTATTTTTTGACACCTTGTGAAGCAATGCACTAAATTTTTTTCAATATTATCATCCAATTAGTATCATTTTCGTAAGTAAACCCACTATATTATTGTAGATGACGCTTTACCACAGTAGTTTATATCTACGTACTTTAATGCGAGTTCAATCTCCATCAATTATTTTTTTTACAACAACTAACGATTTATCGCACTAACACTATCGCTTATAAAAAAACAAACAACATAAAATCAATACTAATAAACACATAAAATTTCATACTTTTACGAGTAACGTTACAAGGATGACATGGTCGCACACAAACGAGACATGCAATTAGGGGAAAACAAACCCTTGGGGCTTCAAAGCGAGAGAATTTTCAATGTGACCGATACACGGGATGGTACATCACGTGTCACTGTACAAATGGTGGGATATGTGTGCTAAAAAGTTAATAACTTAAAAAATGAAAATTTCCACAATTTCTATTAAAAAAACGTAGTGTACCACTTGTGTTTCTGTCACAATTAAAAATTTCTCTTTCAAAGTAACGTATGCAATGGAACTTGAAGGATCCACGTATGCAATGGGCTTCAAGTTGGGCCAGTATTGGGCTTACATGTCAACTTTGCCTGACATACTTGTAAGTTATGGAGCCTTCGAGTTGCGGCCCAAAGAACTTTTCATTTGGAAGTGTATTTTAACACCGTCAAGTTGCAACTTGTCCAACACGAAATAAACCGGGAAGAACTCCCTGTAAAATCCCCAAAATCCCCAACTCCCAGCTAGCTCCGTACAGTTCGCCGTGGACATGGAGATCGATCATTCAACGCCGTCCGAGCAGAAACTCAAAGCCGAAGACCTCTTCAAAGCCGCCGAGACCGGCGATTCTTCGGCGCTCAAATCTCTCTCACAGAAACAGCTCGCCGAAGCTTTCTCTCTCAGGAACGAGGACGCCCGCTCCATCCTCCACGTCGCCGTCTCCTCGGGCCGCTCCGAGGTTCGTCTTCTCCCACATTCCTCAAATTCCTGTGTGGTTCCCGAGAAACTGAGGGAAAATTAGAGAAAATTTGAGGGTGCCCTCTGCTTTCTATTTGATTTCAGTTTCAATTGAAAATCAGTACTTTGAGCTTGTTCTCATTTAGCTTCAATTGTAATTTTAAGTTGTAATATTCTCTGCTTTGAAGCTGATGAATTTGTGGCTTTTTGGGGACTCAGGTGGTGAAGTTGCTGATTGCTGCTGATGAATCAACAAGTGTGATAAACAGCACTGATGAAGACGGATGGGCGCCGCTTCATTCTGCGGCCAGCATTGGGAATTCGGAAATAGTTGAGCTGTTGCTAAGCAAAGGTAAATTTGTCACTTGTCAGATTTCATGGCTATATGCTTCATGACTTCATGTTGTTTGTAGCACCGTTAACCAGGCAATGTAGTAGACTTGGTGGGCGTAGTCACGTTGGCTAGAGCGGATGTGCTCCTCTATGCACTCAAGTTTCAAATCCCCCTCCTCGTTGTTTAATTGGGTTTAAAATATAATCGAGTTTAAAGTAGAATATCATTTGAAAACAATGGTGGTTACTTGAACATGGCTGATTGTGCTATCTCAGTGTTCTGATTTTATGGTTCTTAACAGGAGTTGATGTTAATTTAAAGAACAATGGCGGTCGATCTGCCCTTCATTATGCTGCCAGTAAGGGATGGTTTGAGATTACTCAGAGTTTGATCTCCCATGGGGCAAATGTTAATCTGAAGGACAAGGTTTGTAACTTCACATAATAGTGCTTTATCTGGTGAAGGAGAACCTTTAAGTATGTATCCAGTTTAATGAGCACCGTTGCTGCTGGAGTGTTTAACTTCTTTTAATTTGTTTGTATTTGCTGAATTGTGATCATATGGTATGCATTGTGCTCAGGTTGGTTGCACCCCATTGCACCGGGCAGCTAGCACTGCAAAATCAGAACTGTGTGAGCTTTTAATTGAGGAAGGGGCAGAAGTTGATGCTGTTGATAGAGCTGGTCAGACTCCTCTCATGGGTGCGGTGATTTGCGATAACAAAGAGGTAGGTTTGGGTGACTCTGAGAAAGAGATTCTTATTTTTGCCGCACACATGGATATATTTGTTTGGTTGGTCAAGAAGTACATCATGAATGCCACTTTTATTGCTCTTGTTGACCCTACTTTCCGCGCTCTCGTTTTAATAAGCCAGTTGGGATTGAGCATTTCTGATTCAGATTTTAGCAATGAAATAAAGAGTTGGGAAAGAGATTAGTCTTAGGAAATCTGGAAATGCATGCTTGGTTGCAATTTACAGTATTTCATTCTGTCTTTGTTTGACTAGTATGGACTTGACTGTAATATGCGCCTTACTTTATTATCTTAGCGGCTTCATACCATATAATGCTTCTGGCTAATGTCAACTATTGTAAGAAGGGCTTGAAGATTTTTGGTGTTTCTCCAATTGATTTTAAACACTGACCTTGATCCTGGCTTTTTAGAACCTGTTGAATGAGTGCTTAACCTGTTCTCTCTAGCCCTGTGGTGTTTCATTTCTTCTTCCGAATTCCTTGCATTCTTTTAAATCTCTGTTTTTGTTATTGCTAGACAAATAGGCCCATTGTAAATGGGAAATAAACTTAACCGTTTTGCTCTGCGATTATCTGCCTTCTGCAGAGGTTGCAACAGTTATTATGACCTGCATATATTGTTTCCCTCTTGGTTTGAACCTTTTCTTCGTACTCAGAGACCTTAGGTTATAATTTTTTACTGTTTCACACTTGGTACATGTTAATGGTGCACTTCTATGTTATCAATTTTAATACCAAGTTGACATGGGAAGAAAGAACTTTGTATTAACTTCTAGTTTTGTCTAACAGAAAGCATAATTCAATCTTTTCTCAGATCTCCATTCATTTTTGGTCGATGACAGGTTTCTCTCCTTCTAATAAGGCACGGAGCAGACGTGGATGTGGAAGACAAGGAAGGATACACAGTGCTCGGTCGAGCTTCTAAAAAATTTAGACCACTTTTGATCGATGCTGCTAAGGCCATGATTGAAGGATGATTTTCTCGACTGGCTTTGTTTTAGGTGCAAACATTGCTGCTAAGGCCATGATTGAAGGATGATTTTCTCGACTGGCTTTGTTTTAGGTGCAAACATACTGCACGAGTGACCATTAAAAACAAAGAGAGAATAGGAGAGTTTCGTGTAATTAACCAAAGGATTTGTTGCAGGCTATCGTCAATTTCGGTTTCAGTATTTCACTATTTCTTCCACTTGTTGGCCTACTCTCACAAAAAATGACGTCGAAGATATCGTTGTTGGGCATTCTTACTTGCAGTTATGACCTAATGCAAGTTTTACAATGTGGCCTCTCCACACTCAAATCTCTCTGTTTTAGAAACCACCATAACCACCACCTCCCTTCAAAGATGTCTGCCGACTCCGGCAGCCTCCTCCAAACCCCTGAAACTAATGTCATTGTTTTCCCGAGCTCCAGCATGGGCCACTTGACACCCCTCCTACGACATGCCGCATTACTGCTAACCCAAAACCACTGCCCACTGAGGCTCACCCTCGCCATCTCCTTGTTCACCTAGTTGCACGGTTGTATCGCGATTAGAATCGTCTGTTTTCTTAGTTCTCATTTGAATATCACAACTAAGTAAGTGGACAACAAAGTGGACTTTGGATAGAAACAAGTATCATTTGTTAAAATAATGTATACACGTGTTATAATATGAATGAATTAATAATATTACGTGGCAGTGTGATAATCATATTAAAAAACTACTCGTGTTTTTCTAGCATTTTGTATGTATGAATGACATGTGTTTAAAACTCGTGTTTTTCTAGCATTTTGTATGTATGAATGACATGTGTTCAAAACTTTCAAAATTTAACGCATTTACTCCATTACTCGAAGTTCTAAGATGGATTTCCTCCTCTTCTAGCATTGCCTCCATCATAAAGACTTGAAAAGCCTAAAAAACAGAGGGAAAAAAACATGTCGTTTTTGTTTTGTCACCTCAAACGACGACTTGAGTAAAAATACAATGCCGTTTAGTGAAAAAACGTTGAAAAGCGCCAAAAGCAGTTGGATGCTTCTGTGGTCGATATAACCCGTAAATATAAGTATCCCTCTGCTTGTTATCTCTTTATTCGGGCTGGGGCTGTGGTATAAGCCAAACCATGGTTTCCTCTTCAGTCTCAGCTCTCTTCCGCACCCATCCTTCCTTTCATATTTCACATACCAATTTAGATGTCTTTAAAAGACCTACCACAGTAGTAGTTTGTTCTAGTTCTTCTCCGGCGCCGACGTCTCCCCGCCATGTTCTTCTCCAAACCTCTCTTTCTTTGGCTGCTTCAGCTGCCATTCTTCTCGGCTCAAATCCAGGTATGCAGTTCAAAAGACCCAATACGATGATTTATTCTTTATCTTTGCCTTGCGATTTGAGCAGAATATAACAGATGATATAACAAATGGAAAAAAAAATGCTTAATTGTAGCGATGGTCCTCAACTATACATTGAGTTGCATTTTCGCCCCTAAAAAGATGGAAATACGTAAGAACCAAGAAGTCATTATTAAAATTTGACGAGTGTGTAAAATTTTTTTGTATTGTAATTGTACAAAGACAAAATGACTTTTACACGTAAGGAACCAAGTAATAAGTCTGCCGTTCCCTAACAGTGCAACTCAATATTAAATTGGAGGACGGCGAGACTTATTTTTGGAATTCACGGACCAAAATGCAAATTAACGTGTAGTTCAAGGACCAACGTGAAAGTATATTAGTCCTCTAGCATAGGGGTATTTTTCAAATTAGGGAGCTGAATGTGGGAGGAATTTGGTGTTGCAGCCAGTGCTGGATTTCTATCAGGATCGACTGGAATTGAATCAGTTCCAGGTCCTGAGTTGCCTCAAATCGACTTCCTCAAACGCTTCAACGGTTCGACTTCAACTCTCTCTGAATATTTACATTCATCTACGTTCAACATGCTGATTGAAAAATGTGACACAACGTTGTTCAATTATATATTATTGCAGAAGAAAACCAGAAAAAGTATGCAGAAAATGATGCAAGATTCGGATCAACTCCAATACTGAAGGAGCTACTAGAAAAATCCAAGCTCAACAAAGAAAAGTAAGTAGATTCCTGGTTCGTGCTTTCCTAATTGCTTGCATAATTGGAAGTGTGAAAGTTCTAGGCTCGTGCTACTGCTATAAACCCTAAACGGAACAGTAGAACGAACCTAGACGCTTGAAAGGAGTGACCAATGCTTTTGATACCATTTATGTCAAACAATCGCGTTGTTAAGGAATAAGGCAACAATATCAACGTCGAAACAAAATCAGACGTGTTCTGTGTGAAACTGAAACTGTGCAGGAATAGTAAAGAAATTCAAGACAAGTACTGCATACGGGGGGCAGAGTGGGGAGTTGGAGATTGCTCGGCAGAGGGAATGACACCTGATGAGAAAGACAAGTTCATCGCAATGTTGAAGGAGAAAGCTGGCGTCAAGGATTGATATCCACCGACTTATGCTTTGTGTAAACCCTAATTTCCAAGTAATGGTAGAGATCAAACTTGTAGGAGCTTCTCATTCGAAGACATGGATACGTATGTAATATGAGTAGACGATCACGACCACTACGAGTATATAACGATCCAATTGATGCGTAAATTGATACAATATTTAGTCTACGTCGCCGCAAAAGCGCATACGGATAGACTAGTAAAATGGCAAGCATGACGTAGGACAAGAAGAAAAAATTGAATTTTAAAAAGTAGGTAAAGGTTTACCATCTTAATTTACAAAGTTCCAAACATTTAAATCTATGATTTCATTTTCATAGTGAGAGTGATGTGGATTTTTCTACTTTGCATCAAAATCGCACATATGAAAAAACATAAAAAATATACGTACTTAGTGTGCGGCTTTTATCTAATTTATATTTATATATAATTATCTGCACGTCATGTCGCATAAATTGTTCATGAATAAATTTGTCCAAAACTAATTTATTCAACCAGACAAGAAAAAATTTGGTTTTAAAATGGATGGTCTCACAATTTTAGACAAGAGGTAGTTTCGGAGAAACTTTGATGAACTTAAAACACGTTTACGTGACGTTATTACTATATTCAAATTATAATATGTGGGTTGATTTTCTTATGTACTCATCATAATCTATAGAAATGACTTGTCTGAAAATGCTTTTCAAATAGCAGAAAACGCTTTTAATGAAAATATTTTTTAAATTAATTTTTTTTTAAAATACAAGTAAATCCTACAAAAACACACAAATACTTTACGCAAGAAACATATCTCGTGCTTCTGATTGAAGTAAGTGATTTAAAACCTAAAACCATTTATTTAAAAGTGTTTTGGGCATCCATAATGATAAATCTGTCTTGGTTCTGATATTCCTAGTCAGTCAAAGACAAAAAGACAAGAAAACAAAATAAAAAATAAAAAGTCCAGCAGGAAAAAAAGAAATATAAAATAACTAATAATTTAGTTTTACAATATTCGTGTGTATGTACTATTCATGGCCAAAATCCCACGGGCATTGCAAGCTCACCGACCCAGCCATCATTAGCTTGACCCAGCAATCATAGCTTGACCAGCGATCATAGCTCTCTCTCTCTGGTACTCTCTCTCTCTCTCTCTTCCCAACGAATTTTACAATTTCTTCAAATTTTTATGTTATTTTATTTGTTCGATTTTCATCTTCAATCTCAGTTTCTCGGCAAATTTCGGCGTACGGTTAGATGTACGGTCTCCTTGGTCTGTGTAACGGACAATTGAATTCATTTCATTTTCTTGCAGTTTCTCAGCTGCCAAACGGGATTTGTAACAAATTCAGCTGTCTGGTGCTTTGAAATTTTGCTCTATCAGAATTTGAATTGGAATTGGGGCTTCTCAGCCAAGAAAAATAAAGGAGGAAGAAGAGAAGGTGATTTTTTTCGGTTGAAATTACGCGCGGAATTGGAATTGGTAAAATTAGGTAAAGGGTTTCTTTGGTTTTGTAAAGTTCAATTTTTTTAGCTAAATTATGTAACTTTGTTGAAATCAATGATCTTATTTGTATATAAATTTGATTGTCACATAGCTTCGATCTTTCGGTTTCAGGGGAATCCTGTGTGATTAGTTTGGTTAGCATTGTAGAATTCACATTGGAGTTGATGCTTGAATTTTGAAAGTTCTGGTGTATTCTAGTGATTTTCGCTGCGGGATTGTGACTGCAATTCGGAGTCACCAAATGTACCGGACTGTGGCTACGGCCACGACTGCAACCCGGGGTGGATCTCCAACTGATAGCGGGGATTGTGTTGTCACTTTGGATCAAGTTCCACGGTGGAGCAGTTCAGAGTATCGTGCTTCCTTGGAATATGACAATGAAGATCCTTCGTTTTCAAATTCGTATTTTCCTGATCCTTTAACTTCCCAATCTGGGGGAGAGAGCAGTATCAATGGGATGGTCTCAAGATTTCCAGTTGACCATGAAATTAATTCAAAGACATATCTATGGAGAGGGAACCCATGGAATCTCGAAGTTGATGCAGTAGTGAATTCTACAAATGAGGTGAGCACTAGGTTGTGACGATGAATCTTTGATAGAGATTTCTTGATGTATAAACCTGGTGACATTGGTAAAAGAGACAAGTGTCTAAGTTTTTTGATTGGACAATTTACAGAACATGGATGAAGCACATTGTAGTCCTGGTTTGCATGCTGCGGCTGGACCTGGTCTTGCAGAAGAATGTGTAGCACTGGTATGCTATACTTATTTGCACTAGAGTTCTTGTCTTCAGTCATTCTTCGTACGGTTCTTGATATTTGAAATGCAATGTAAATACAGATTTATGGGTGAAATTGAAGATGTTGAATGGGATACAACATAGAAATTTCAATGTCATTGGCTTTTTAAAGCTCCCTGTGGTGTTCTGTCAGAATCGGTTTTTTTTTTATTAAGAGTCAACTGATTTGATATACCTTTTTCATGTTGGCAGGGTGGATGTAGAACAGGGATGGCAAAGGTCACTAAAGCATACGACCTTCCAGCTAGGTGAGTATATCAGTGCAGTTTTCATTTAGAGTGCTCATTGTGCACAAGTACTCTTTCATTTCTGTATCTAGACTTAATGAATGATGTTTCTTTCCTTGTACATTCCAGGAGAGTTATCCATACTGTCGGTCCCAAGTATGCAGTGAAATACCATACTGCTGCAGAAAATGCTCTGAGCCATTGTTATCGTTCTTGCCTTGAACTTCTCATTGACAGTGGCCTGCAAAGGTGCTTGGCAGATGATTGCTGTGCCATTTTGTGTTTAGTATTCTTTTCAATTGTTCTTCCCTTTTGTTTTGTTCTTTATAAAGTATGAAGCTTATTTTGTTTGGCCAATATATTGTAGCATTGCAATGGGTTGTATATATACAGAATCTAAGAACTACCCCCGTGAGCCAGCCGCCCATGTTGCTATAAGTGAGTTACTTTCGTACATGTTTCAGAAATTAGTTTCCTTGCAATGATGTATTATGTGAAGCACGTGAAGTACATTAAGCATATTTGGGCATCCATGGAACATAGAAAGGCTGATACTAGCTTTTGTTGGATTATATACAAAATCGTAACATTCATGTTGTATGGTGTGGAAAGGATAACAATCAACCAATATTCAAAATAAAAGTTCAAAGGAAAAAAAAAAGGATAACAATGTGTGGATAGCTCTGTTATCTCTTGCAGATGCAATCTCTTATGATGAGTTAGATTATGGTACACATAGATCCCCATCTTTAAAATATATGCACGTCTTTTGCATTCTGTGATAAATATAACTTGCTTATCCATTCGTATAAGTGCTGGATTATTCGAATTTTTAGTCATGTACATACATCCACGTTTTAATTGCTGCTGGTAAAGTTCACTGAAGATTCAATTATTTCTTTCATTCTTTACTCTTCAGCTTATTTATTTTCTGCTTGTTTTCAGGGACTGTGCGACGGTTTCTGGAAAAGCAGAAAGACAAAATCGCAGCTGTTGTTTTTTGTACTACCACATCAATGGATACAGAGATATACAAAAGGTTGATAAATATAGCTATTTATTTATGGAGCACATGCTGCTTCACCATGATATATATATGACTTATAAACTCCACTCTTGGTGTTACTGTTACAAAATATTGAGAAATCATTTCCCTTCACTTTTTTTCCAACCTAGATTGCTTCCGCTTTACTTTCCCCGTGATAAACTCGAAGAGGAGATTGCCGTGTTGAAGCTTCCTGCAGATGTAGGTGATGAAAATGGCGAGACAATTATAGATGAGCGCAAAATCAGAATAAAGCCTTTGCCCAAAAAGAATATTCCAAAGCCTCCCCAGGCTCCAGTTGAGCTTCCTGTGAGTGATGTTGGCTTAGTACGAAGGTCAGTCAATGACTCAATGAGAATTTTTTAACATGTCCAAGAGAAAACTTAAGGCTTTGACTAATATCAAGAGAAATACTTGGAAATTCTTGCCACTGAAAGCTTCCGAAGAATTCCATGTTTCATATGTCAATTTTCATACTTCATAGATGTCTGTCCACTTATGTTCTCTGTTTTTGTGGTTATCAAGCTTATTGTTCCTTTTGCTATACCACTATCATTATCTCTTTTGGTTAAAATCCTTAACTAACTTGCTGAAGTTGTTCTATAGGAACTCATCATATTTGGATTCGTTTTTGGATCCTGCCTTCATGTCCTTAATAAAAGACCCAGATCAGAGACGCAAGGAACAATGGGAGAAAAATGCTCAAGCACAAAGTGGATGGAATTGTGCTAAAATGCTTGGGTTTGGCGACCTTGGTGGACCTCCATTGTCTGCTGCAGAAGAATACTCACTTCATTCAAGATACCTTGCTAAAGCAAATTCTCTTAATCTTTCAGAAATTGCAGAAATGAAAATTGTGTAAGATTTATCTCTTTCATCATTGACATAGTGGCAGCTGTGGAGTCTTAAGCTTGTTGATTTTCACAGCTGGACAGCTGTTAATATGTAAAGTGCTTTTTATTTTAGCACTTAAGAGTACTTGGATTTAACGGAAGACGTGGCACAGAACCGAGCGCAATGGCGTTCTAGGATTCATACAGCCGACCCCACTTAGTGGGCAGAGGCTTTGTTGTTGTTGTTGTATTAGTAGCACTTCGGTTGGCTCATATCTTCTTTCACAGAAAAAAGGATAAGCTCTTATTATGTTATTAAAACAGTGCAAATATTGATATGTTGGTACCTAGTGGTGGCTGAAACTAAGAATGTTATGAATCTAAAAATGGTTGAATCTGAATGGCTGTATGAGATGTATACATTTAAACATCTGTCTATTTTTCTGTCTATTTCAGTTACCGAGGTGGGGTTGACAGTGAGGGTCGTCCTGTAATGGTGGTTGTGGGGGCACATTTTCTTTTGCGATGTCTTGATCTAGAACGATTTGTACACTATGTTGTTAAGGTAGTACATCATTAAAGTTGGGGTTAATTTGCATATGCTGTAGAGACTGCATCTTTGCTAGTTATGTTGTTGGCGACTTATATATCTAATCTTGTTTATTGGTTTGCAGGAGTTTGAACCCTTAATACAAAAGCCTTATACTATTGTATACTTCCATTCTGCAGCATCTTTACAGCTGTAAGTTGTTCGCAGTTGAGTTTCAGAAAATGCAAAACTGAAAACAATTCTAGGTTCAAAAGGTTTTTCATGTTATTTTATACTCACACTCCACGTGACGGTTCAGTTTCTATGAAAGATGAAAAAAGAAATTTTGAACTCTCACAAGGACTGCCAAATTAACGTAGATTGACGTAACTTCTTTGGTGGAATATTAATTTCTGACTATGAATACAAGTGATGATCAGTACCTTAATAGCGTATATTGATAGCAAGTTACTCTAACTAATTGAGTTTCCTTTCGTGCATGTATTGCAGGCAGCCAGACTTGGGGTGGATGAGAAGGGTACAACAGATACTTGGTCGTAAACACCATCGTAATCTGCATGTAGGTATCACTTCGTTTGTCCATATATGTTAGCAATTGTGTCTGCGTCTCTAATCTTTATCTTCTTTACATAGGCAATATACATCCTTCACCCGACATTTGGACTGAAGGCTGCAATATTTGCCCTGCAACTGTTCGTGGACAATGTGGTATGCCTAATTTTATTTATGATTTCTTGTTTATCAAGACTTCACATCATTTAAAAAGCCTGCTGTAAGTGAATGTTATTCTAACTTTTGTTTCTAGGTCTGGAAGAAAGTGGTATATGTAGATAGATTACTGCAGCTCTTTCGATATGTTCCTCGTGAGCAGTTGACCATCCCCGACTTTGTGTTCCAGTTGAGTTTCTTTGTTCCTTTCCACCATCGTGATTTCTATAGCAACCTGCATTTAAAAACACTAGTATGCAATGATTGTATTACAAGGTAAACAGATGATTGGTTCTGATGGATTTTGTGACCGTGATCAATGCAGGCACGATCTGGAAGTGAACGGTGGCAAGGGTCTCATCGTGGACCCGAGAACAAAGTATGTGTATCATCGACCGTAGCATTGCGAATACACGGTTCCATGAGGCAATGAAGGAGGTCCATGGCTTGTGATTTCTTGATTCTATTTTCTTTTCGTACATCTTATAGGTAGATGGGAGTTGAATTTGCCGTTTACTTGTGTAGAAAAAAGATATCCTTTCTTTTCTTGGAAAGTTGTTTTTGAAGCAAATATTATTTGTAACTAAACATGGAAATTAATTATAAATATTCTTTCTTGAATTGTCTTGGATGAATTATCAATAAAATGTCAAGGTAGTTAGAGCTATAAACCAGGAAATTTACAATCAAAACGAACATCGTTCTGGCTACATTCCAAATCACTCTAATATCTTTGTTCTTTTTCTTTTTTAATTTATTAATTTTACTCTTTTTCAGCTTTAATATTTAAAATTCGGTTTAAAAATATATATTTAAAATTCAATACACGCAGATCTTCTGTTTATCCACTTTTTGTTTTTGTCTATTTTTATGGACGATATGGTATGAATCGCATGATGATGCTAGGAGAAGGCTGGCAAAGTCACTAGTTGATCCTTTTAAAAAAAAAAATTACAACGGTAAAAAGTCAAAAAAATAAAAGTGAGTTTGACTTTCTTGCACCCCTAAGAGTTTGAATCATTTTCATACATTTTTTTGTTAATTTTTCTTTTATTTTTCTTACCACTGTAACAAACTCTCATATTCATGTTCTTCAAAATATATTTTTCCTTGCGTGAAGCCCAACTCATTTTCTGAGCACCCGGGAGTTCGCCTCGTTCTGTGTGCTTTGAGCCCGCCTTGGTTGAAAAAGAGGGTTTTAGTAATATGTAGTTTAGATTTAGATAGAAGAAAATTTAAAAAAAAAAAAAGAAAAGGTTCAAATATCTTTATATTTAGGTTTTAGATCGTTGATTGCAAGTGTTCAAATACGAATTATTATAGATTTTGGACAGAAAAATATATTTTGATGAACATGAGTATGATAGTTTATTGTAGTGGTTAGAGTAATAAAAGAAAATTGTAAAAAAATGATAAATTCTTGGGGTGGCAGAAGTCACGAGTGACTTTCTAGCATCCCCAAGAATTTGAATCATTTTTGTCCATTTTTGTTAAATTTTCTTTTATTTCTTTTACCACTACAACAAACTGTCATATTCATGTTCTTCAAAATATATTTTTCCGTGCGTGGAGCATGACTCATTTTCTGAGAACCCTGGAGTTTGCCTCGTTCTGCGTGCGCTGAGCCCGTCTCGTCTTGTGTGCCTAGGTTCATCTCATTTTGTAAATGAGGTGTCTTCATTGTTTTGCATGCTTGAAGCCCGAACCTTTTTGTGTCAACGGAATATGCGTCGTTTTGGCATGCACGGAGGCAACCTTGTTTTCTGGGCATAGGGATGGCCTTGATTTGTGCGATGTATCCCTCCTCGATTTTTGTGTGTGGAGCTCACCTCGTTTTGCATGCCAAAAGTCCACACCATTTTTTGTGAATGGAGCTCATTTTGTTTTGCATGCCATAGTTTGACTTGTTCTGCGTGATCTGAGTCCGCCTCATTTTGCATGTGTCGAGCCCGCCTAACATGCATGTTTTTTGACAAAAATGCAAATATTTTATTTTTGCAAAATATTTTTCCTGAGCATTAAGTTAAACTTTTTAAGAAATTTGGAAGTGTTGTTACGGTTTATTAAGCAACAAATGTATATTTTGTAGAATATTTAAGTCGAAAACTAAAAAAATAAGTGAAAAATATAGTAGTGAGGCTCAGAACATTGTCAAATGGGGTTTTACACTCAAGAATCTCAATGGAAAATCTCACCTTAACTCAAAACTTTATAGTGAGGCGAATGTGAAAATAAATAGATTGAACAGTGATTTATGTATAAAATTGCAAAACTGTCTAAAACCTGTGGGTGTTAATCCACTTTTTTTTTGTAAAAAATGAAAACTTTTTATTTTTCAAAGTATTTTCCCTAAGCATTAAGGAAATCTTTATAATGCATTTGGAAGTGGATTTACGATTAATTGAGCAACAAGTGTGCATTTAAGCCAAAAAGTTATATAAAAAAAAAGAACAAGTGAAAAATATAGAGATGTCAACATGTATATTTGGTGCATATTTTTTAATATTTTTTGCTAAATCTGAGATGTTAAAATCACATGTAAGTGAGGCTTAAATAAAAAATAGCAAAATTTTGTTTTGTTAATTAGTCTTTCACCCTCTTTTGATTGAAAAAAAAATTCTATTCATATGTAATTTAGATTTAGATAGAAGATTTTTTTTTTTAAATGTTCAAATATCTTTAGATTTAGATTTTAGATCATTGATTACAAGTGTTTAAATACGAATTATAATAGATTTTGGACGAAAAAATATATTTTGATGAACATGGGTATAATAGTTTGTTGTAGTGGTATGAGAAATAAAAGAAGGGCACCCCAAGAATTTGAATCATTTTTGTTAATTTTTCTTTTATTTATCTTACCACTACAACAAACTATCATATTCATGTTCTTCAAAATATATTTTTTCATGCATGGAGCCTAACTCTTTTTCTGAGCACCTGGGAATTCACCTTGTTTTGCGTCCACTAATGTGACATCCCACATCGCCCAGGGGAGTGATCCTTATATGTATATTCTCATCCCTACCTAGCACGAGGCCTTTTGGGAGCTCACTGGCTTCGGGTTTCGTAGGAACTCCGAAGTTAAGCGAGAAGGGGGCTAGAGCAATCCCATGATGGATGACCCACTGGGAAGTTGCTCGTGAGTTCCCAAAAACAAAACCGTGAGGGAATGGTAAGCCCAAAGCGGACAATATCGTGCTACGGTGGTGGAGCGGGCCCGGGAAGTGGTCCCACCCGGGCCGGGATGTGACACTGGGAAGTTGTTCTAGCCCCCTTCTCGCTTAACTTCGGAGTTCCTACGGAACCCGAAGCCAGTGAGCTCCCAAAAGGCCTCGTGCTAGGTAGGGATGGGAATATACATATAAGGATCACTCCCCTGGACGATGTGGGATGTCACAACTAAGCTCACCACATCTTGTGTGCCTGGTTCGCCTCGTTATGCATGTGAGGTTTATGCATCATTTTGCATGCCAAAAGCTCGCACCTTTTTGTGTCCATGGAGCCCGTGTTGTTTTGGTGTGCACAGAGTCTGCCTTGTTTTTCGTGCACAAGGTTGGTCTCAATTTGTGCGACGTATCTCACCTCGATTTTTGTGCACAAAGCTCGACTCATTCTGCATGCTAGAAGACCGCCCCGTTTTCTTGAGCGGAATTTTGTGTGCCATGGTTCGCCTCATTTTGCATGATCTGAGTCTGCCTCGTTTTATGTGCATTGAGCCCGCCTAACACCCATGTTTTCTGACAAAAATGTGAATATTTTATTTTCGCAAAATATTTTTCCTGAGCATTAGATTAAACTTTTTAAGGAATTTGGAAGCAGTTTTATGGTTTATTGAGTAACAAATGTATATTTAGCAGAATATTTAAGCCAAAAACTAAAAAAAAAAAAAAGTGGAAGATATGGTAATGAAGCCTCGAACATTGTCAAATGAGGTTCTACACTCAAGAATCTCAACGGAAAATCTCACCTTAATTTTCAAAACTTCACAATGAAGCGAAAGTAAAAATAAATAGATTGAATAGTGATTTACGTACGAATTTGCAAAACAAACTGAAAATCGTGAGTGTTAATCCTTTTTTTTTTTTTTTTTCAATGTACATTTTTTTTTTTTCCTCGAACTATTTTCTGACAGTTAAAAAATACATTTTGCCAGGCTGAATGACTTCACACATCCAACAGATTGTGACTCAGCTTGAAACCGTTCCGGTTCCACATACTACTTTCAACATTTTCTGCAAATTAATTTTCATAAAACTCTTGAAGACGAAGACGAATCGAAAAACCAGGCAGCTAGAGTTTGCTTCTTCTCTGCTTTCTCCGGCCACTCTCCGGTGAGCAAGTAAACACTCAAGCTAATCGATTTGGTTTGCTTTTCGGATTGCTCTGCTAAAATTTAGAACACAAATAGGGAGTATTTAATGTGATAATTTAGAAAGATAAGATTTTGATAGGAGTTTTCAAGTGGGTTTATGTGAATTTCAACTGTGTTTATGTGATTATTTTTACTTTCCCATTTTTTCACACCTGGAAGTTGGTGCCTTTGTTTTTGTACATATCAGTATATCAGTAGTTTATTTCTTGATTGGATGTTTATCTGCATGAATTGAAATGTAATGGGATTTACTGTGTGTATAGATGCTGATACTTCTATACACAAGTGTGGAAGAAGAACTGAGGAAGGGTAGTATTCTGTAAAGGGTATCGAGTTTGATCAGAAAAAAATGGTGCAAGGTCTGTCACCGAGCACTCTGACTGCGTTTTTCTATGGTGGGCTATGTGGGTCGATGCCTTCGTGGAGGAAGCAATTCAAACTAATGAGCAAAACCCCGATAAGTTCTGGTGTCGAAAGGTGTGGTATCTGGCATGTGGGCCGTCAAAGCTTATTTGTAAGAGGTAACACCGATGTGGTAAGACAAAGGAAAGTGAGGGTGGAAGCTGGGTGGCTGTTTAAAGGGGGTGATCAGGGGTTGAATGCAAGCTCGGAGCGGAGCGAGAGTGCTAATGAGGATATTTTGATATTCTTTTTCCAGCTAGACCTGGCAACTCGAGTACAGGTTCGTTGGGGCTCATTTGATAGTTGAAATTTTGTATTAGGTGAAGTGGTATTGGTTTCTCTCGGTTTTGATATTCTGACTAGCATTTTCCTTTTGGGGATGCATTTGCAGTATGCTTTGAACACGGAACAGTATGATTTTGCACAACAACTAAGAAACAAGCTGTAAAAATGGCGAAGTGTATGTATTATGAAAGAATCGATTTCCAACTGATTTGAACTATCATACATTTACAATTCTTGAAAGCCTTATGGGAAGGCATACTTATACACAATAAGATCAAAGCTTTACACCTATACTACATGAGGAGAAAACTTTACACCGATGCCACATGCAGCAACACCACACATGCAGCAATATTAAAATGTTCTCCCTGCTGTCCAGGTGCAACAGCACAGCAACATCACAGCAACAGCACAGCAACCACATGCAACCTTCCTTTCCAGAAGTTAATGTCCTCCCTGCTGTCTTTCCTTTATGGCAATGATTGTAATGATGGCAGGTACATACACCCATGATTTCAACACTCCTCCTCAAGTTGGAGCATGAATGTTTTGAATGCCCAACTTGCTGAGAAGAGAATGAAACGATGCCTTTCCTAGTGCTTTTGTAAATATGTCGGCCAACTGATGTTTTGAAGGTGTGAACCTTGTTGCAATCATTCCTGAATGTAACTTTTCTCGGACCAAGTGACAATCTAATTCGATATGTTTAGTTCGCTCGTGGAAGACTGGATTAGCTGCAATGTGTAGCGTTGCCTTATTGTCACAGTAAACATGAGCTGGAGCTGCATGGGAGACCTGTAAATCTTGTAACAGATAACGAAGCCACGTAAGTTCACAAGTGATTGCAGCCATTGATCTATATTCTGCCTCTGCAGACGATCGTGAAACCGTATGTTGTTTTTTAGTCTTCCAGGAGATAAGTGATTTCCCCAAAAACACACAATAACCTGTCACAGACCTTCTAGTCGTTAGACATGATGCCCATGAAGCATCACAGTAACCACTCAATTGTAAAGCATCTGTAGATGGAAAAAATAGACCTTGTCCTGGAGTCCCTTTGAGGTATTTCAAGACTCGCATAGCAGCTTCAAGATGAGGCTTGCGTGGTTGGTTCATGAACTGGCTAAGATTTTGGACAGAAAATGTGATATCTGGCCTTGTTATGGTGAGGTAAATGAGTCGTCCCACGATCCTTCTATATCTGGTTGGATCCTTTAATAATTCACCATCCGTTGGCCTTAACTTCAAGTCTTGTTCCATGGGAAAATCCACTGGACATGCCCCTAATAGTCCAACATCGTCCAGTATGTCCAAAACATATTTCCTTTGTGAGATAGAAATGCCTTGCTGTGAACGAGCCACTTCAATCCCAAGAAAATATTTGAGAGGTCCGAGGTCCTTAATACGAAACTGATGATGAAGAAAACGTTTTAAACGTTGAATGGCCTCATGGTTGTTCCCTGTAATGATCATGTCATCAACATAGATAAGAACCACTGTAATGGAATGCGCAGTAGTGCAGGTGAACAATGAATAGTCTGCAGTTGATTGTTTGAACCCCACGAGTTGAATAGCTTGAGAAAACTTTGAAAACCATTGACGGGAAGCCTGCTTCAAGCCATAGAGGGATTTATGGAGTCGACAAACCAAGTTCTCCCCCTGTCGACGAAGTCCGGGAGGTGGAGACATGAAAACTTCTTCGTCCAAATCACCATGGAGAAAAGCATTCTGGACATCGAGCTGATGGAGAGGCCAGTGGCGTTGAGCAGCCACGGCCAATAAACAACGAACAGTGGTAAGTTTGGCCACGGGTGCAAATGTTTCAGAATAGTCCAGGCCTTCAATTTGCGTGTAACCTTTAGCAACCAAACGCGCTTTATAGCGCTCGATGGAGCCATCAGAGCGATGTTTGATCTTGTAAACCCACTTGCTGCCGATAGCACGTTTTCCAGGAGGCAGGGAAGTGAGTGTCCAGGTATGGTTCTGTTCAAGTGCAGCAAGTTCAGACTGCATGGCAGCTTGCCAATTAGGATCAAGGTTGGCCTGAGCAAAAGAAGTAGGTTCGATGCTACGAGTGATATTATTGATAAACACTTGATGAGATGGTGATAAATGTGAAGGAGAGAGATAATGAGAGAGGGGATAGCGAGTACCTGACCGCGAAGAAGAAGTGGACGTGGAAGGCGCCGTGGTGACCTGTGAACAGTCATAATCCTTTAATAAGACAGAAGGTTGCTTGGGGCGGAGGCCACGACCAAGGGCAGGTGGTGGTGGGGGCGACACAGGTGATGGTGGCGACACAGGTGATGGTGAGAAAGGGACGACAGTTACGGCAGGTGAAGGAGGAGAAGTGTGCGGACTAGAGATGATGGGAGATGAGGGTTCTTGTGGAAAGATGGAAAACTTTACACCTATACTACATGAGGAGAAAACTTTACACCGATGCCACATGCAGCAACACCACACATGCAGCAATATTAAAATGTTCTCCCTGCTGTCCAGGTGCAACAGCACAGCAACAGCACAGCAACCACATGCAACCTTCCTTTCCAGAAGTTAATGTCCTCCCTGCTGTCTTTCCTTTATGGCAATAATTGTAATGATGGCAGGTACATACACCCATGATTTCAACACAAGCGGACTGAGGTTAGATCTCTCTTCCAGATTATAATTTTTTTTTCTTTTAATCTGACAAAAATTGAGGTCAAATTACAAAAGGCAAAGAATACGAAGGAAGACCTTTTAGGCTTCTGCAGTGGATGCGTAATTGCAAGTTTCTTAGCAATATCTTGAGAAACAGTGCAATTGTTAATGCAGGTTTGGTGTTCCTAGCTTTTCTATGAGCCACAGCGATGAAACTTTGGATTACTTTTAAAGTTTTAATAACATTACAAAAACCAAAAAGTGCCGTAACCAAGATCTATGGTAGGTTGTGGCTGATTTTTTCGTCTTTGAAAAGGACCGTTGGCATGTAATCTTTTGGTGTGCCCCATATCAATATGCATAAGCTTCCTGGTGAGTGGAGAAACAAATAATTGCGGCCTTCCTAATTAAGCGTTCTTCTTGGAAAGTTGAAGCTGAGGTTATTAAGCAGCAGGAGGCAAAAAGGGGTCGTCTCCAAAGAGTGAAGCTCAAGATAAGGCGATAAGTATCATTTGTCTACGGTATGCCCCAAACCTTGCCATATTATCTAGTTAAGGGTTTAATTCAGTAAGAAAGGTGAAATTCTGTGTTGCTCCTTTCTACTTTCTTTTGACTCTTAGATTCTTTTGGCATATGGGGTCAACTATACATTAAAGTATCCTGCTTTTCTGTCTTTTCTTACAGTGCGGACCTGCAGAATGCAATTGAGAGCGAGAATTATGCCGTGGCAGCCAAGCTATGAGATGCGATTTCTAAACAGGAGGCAGTGTCACTGGATGCATCCGCCAAAGCTTTGGCACATGAAAATGCTAATTATTCATTTCGTTTGGGACAAAGCGTGAGCCATAAAATTTTTGGTACGTTATATCCATGCCTTTTGCTGAAAATTTTCATCTTCCACTGAATGTTTGTTTTTATTTTTTTTGTAAGTTGTGGTGTCAAGTAGTCTGAACATGTATGCTTCTCGATTCTGTAGTCATGTTGGGTGCATATTTGGGTGGTTGAATTTTATAAATATGCAACAGTTTCTGTGAAATTCACTACAAAAACTAGGAAGAATCTGTTTAACCAGTACAGCCTGAAAGAATCTGTTACATAATTGATAATTCTTATGTACTTTTTCAGGCTATCGAGCCGTGGTTTGTGGAATGGATGCGGTGTGTTCCGAGTCAAGTTCATGGATGGAAACTGCACAGGTTGAAAAGCTGACACGCGGTTCTAATCAGCCATTTTATCAGGTTACCTTATCTATAGCCCTTCTGTTTGATTGCTTCTATTTCTGATTGGGCCGGTGATCAAGCATCGTGTGCAATGCAATATGATTTTGAATGATCTCTTCATTATCTTTCCTCAGATTTTGGTCGATGTACATGCTGACCCTAACCTTCTGGTGGCATATGGTAATACTCAACTTTCCGGCCCAATTCCTTATCAGATTTAAGTTTTCTTTTCCCGCTTTGTTGTCCATGAAGCTGCATCTTAGGAACCCCATAAAGCTGCATTTTTAGGCACTGCAATCAGCGTCTCTTTCTGCAGTTTCTGAGGAGAATCTTTTAGCTCCTGAAGAACCAGATGTGGTGAGTAGAATTCTCCCCTTCTTTTGTTTCTTTCCATCCTCAACGTTTGGTTTCCGCTTGTTGAGTGGTGTCTGCACTTGAGGAGCAGAAGAAGCTTCCCTATTAATTGGGTCTGCTGTTAACCTTGTGCAGGATCGATTTGATCAACCCTACATTTCATTTTTGTTCTACGGGATGGATGCAGCTGGCGATTTCATCCCCATCAGGCAATTGCGAGAGAAGTACAATAGGCCACGACACGAAATCCCCTATGATCCACTGGATGAGGGGCAAGGAAGTGATGTTTAGACAAATCCCGGAAACTGACCTTGTATAAGATACTGGTTTACATAGAGCCCGTCAATATATTCGTTTCTTCTGCCTTAAATGACGGCATTTTGTCTTAACTTTGAGGAAATATGCACAAATACAAGGGTTACGAACTCTTAATCAAAAAAAGCATTCGGGTTAGCGTCCTTCACTGCTTTTTTCAGATGTATTCAGAGTAACGTTAACATTTACAAGTTAACTTAAACCCTTCAAAGCACGGTATTTGTATATCCACAAATATAGCCCCACCATTCACATCCAAGTTCAAATCTGTTCGCTCGACCCGCATGTCGTCTTCTGCGTTGTGCCTTCCAAGTCTTGCATCAACAATCGTCACGGATGATCTGTTTATCGAATGCTGTTAAGTCATCCAGGGTAGCCGTGCAGCATCCCATGCTGTCACTTTTCTTCATTAGTTTGTTTGAAGAAGCATGCCCGTGAACGTTCCATCAAGTAGAACAGTATTGAGGTCGCAGAAAGTGCCTTGCTCTTGGGGATTCGAAATTTTTATCCATTCATCCAGATCCTGGATGCAGTTCCTATGCAAGAACTGGTAATCAGCTCAGAGATGTGTTAAAACTTTTAAGCATCCAGAGCAGGGCACCAGTGCAATTTGAATCTTGGTATTGCTGCATCTCCTCGTCCGAAAATCGACTCTTTACATCCTAAGCAACACATGCCACCCTAATAGGTGCAATGTGATTTCTGATGCCCATCTCTACTTGGCTATATGCAAGGGACTTGCTCAATCCTCTCTGCTTCATTAGCTCTCTAACCTGATTAACTTGGCTCCATCTGCCATCTGAAGCATACAGGTTACGCATTAGCACATAGTAGCAAGCTTCATCGGGATGCAACTCTAGCATTCTTCTTATCGCCACTTGGCCAAGGTCAAACCTTGAATAGAGTCCGCATCCATGGAGAAAAGCCCCAAACAAACCAACATCTGGCTGAATCAGCATTCTCTCAATGAATTCCAAGGCCTCTTCAAGTTTGCCAGCACAAGCCAGTAGATTGACCATGCATGCATAATGCTTCATCGAGGGCTTGAAGTTATAGTCCTTGCAGAGTGAATTGAAATAGTTCCACCCTTCTGCAATCACTCCTGTATGGCTACAAGCTGATAATAAGGTCGTGAAGATTACTTTGTTGTGCTCTAGATGCTTCTTTAACATGTCACTGAAAAGTGCAAGGGAACCTGTAATGTCACCCTGAATTCCATAACTGCTAATCATTGCACTCCACTTGATGGTGTTCTTCTCTCCCATTGCATCAAAAACTAGACGAGCAGATTCAGCATCCCGCACTTGGAGTAGAAGTTTAAAAGTGCAGTGCCAACATGGATATTTGCAGTTAATAGGCCATCCTTTATCGAGTGAGCATGAAGCGATGAACCAACTGGAAGAAAACCAAGAGAAGCGCAAGCTGAGAGGACACTTGCCAATGTGAACGCATCATGTGAGAAAGATTCTGATCTCATTTGATGAAACAGTCGGAGGGCTTTGTATGAAGACCCGTTTTGGGAATACCCAGATATAATTGAATTCCAAGCAATCACATTCTAGTCGGAGATTCTTTCAAAGATATAACGAAAATCACTAATCATATGGCATTTTGCATACATCTCCACCAGAGCATTTCTCACAGTCGATTCCTTCAACCCAAGTTTTATCCCAAGACCATGGATTGACCTTCCCAAATTCAAATTACCCGACTGTGCACAAGACGAAAGCACACTTGCAGTTGTTATGGAATTGGGCAAGAGACCAACCCATTTCCTATCCATAAACAACTCCAAGGCCTAGTCGGGATACCCACATTGAGTGTACCCTACAATCATTGCTGTCCACGAAACAAGATCGATCCCACAAAACTCATCGAATATGGAACGAGCATCTCCAATGTCCCCGCACTTGACATACAAGTCCAGAAGAGATATCACCAGAAAAGACTTAAGTCCAATACCATTCTTAATCAAATGTCCATGATCCACTTTCCCTGATGTAAAGATCTTAACTTTGTACACGCCGTAAGTATGCTTCCTAACGTGAACTGATTTCCTTCGACCAACCCCTCTCTCATCCTATTAAACAAGACCAACCCATCTTCTGGACAATCATTTTGCACATACCCAACTATCATTGAAGTCCAACAAACCACATTTCTATCAACAATCCCATCAAAAACAGCCCAAGAACACTCAATCCGTCCACACTTCGCACACGCATCCACCAAACCTGTCAACACGAAACTATCAGGACTCGCCACCTTAACAATCCGGCAGTGCACCTTCCTCCCTTCATCTAAATCTCGCAACTCACTACAGGCCTTTAACACAATCGAGAAAACAATGTTATCATGCTCTCTTGCGCACATTCTCACACGATTATAAAACCCTATAACCTCTTCATACAAATTGTGCATAAAGTACCACCTCAGCATCACTTTCCACGAATAAAAAAAATCTGGGCTTGGCATTTTATCGAACGGATACCGGGCATACTTGATGTACCCAAATGACCCATATAAACTTGATCAATTTTGTCCGACGCAGGAGATCGTCGGCGAGGCCGTGGAGGACGAGCAAGCTGTGGACTTTCTTCAGGGAATCGATGTTCCTGCACAAAACGAGAAGCTTAAAACATGGGTTCGAAAACACCGCGTGCGTCGACGCAATGGTTTGCGAAAAGTCGGGAGGCTCCGACGGTGGTGATTGGTAGATGGCATGCATCAGAGTCCGCCATTGAAGTAAGGGCGTTTTCTGTATTTGCAGATGTAAGGTGGAGATGAATTTCTTCATCGTCGTCCTCATCAAATTTCCTTTTGTTTTAATTTTCTCGGAAAATTGTTCAGTGTTTGAAAAGCCGTTGATTCATGGCGGCTGATGCCGTTAAACCATCCATACGGTTTATTTTGGCGCGCCCTGATCTTTTTTTTTGCGTTACATTATGGGCCTTGAGAAAGTGGTCGGCCCAAAATTTCTGGGCTGGTTCTGAAGCTCAAGGTCCATTCCATTTCATCAATAATCATGTTGTGATTAACATATTCTTTTTATAAAATCTTAACTAACAATTAGTTGGGATTATGACATAGTAACGCGATTAGTTTGGATTGTGTCATTTTTTGGGGTTAGACCGTCTCCAATAAAGCTGTCAAATTTTATTTTCATAGCTGATGAAACAAAATAACATTTTGTAAACTCTCTTATTCCAGCATCGATGTCAAATTAAAATGTTTTCTGATTTTTATAAAATCAAGTAGGTTAAAATTTAATAATAAAATAGTCAATAAGTGAAGAAAAATAAAGAAATATGTGGGCCGAATATTAAAATAAAACAATTAAAAACTTGACGTTGCCTTCAAATTTGGCAGCAAAGTGTAAAATGTCAATTGATGTAGGATTTTGGCATCTCCTTTGAAGCTAGAAAAACTACATTTTTACTTATCAAAACAGTCCGCGTTGAATTTTTGAGATCTACGTCGAAAATTGATTTTATATGTCATTCATCTAAATAGTTGCTTTTTCAATTTAATTAATACTAATAAGATTTACCAACAAACAAAATAAGATTTAAGAAAGGGAAAGTTAATCATTTCTGAATAAAATAATTGGAAACATATTCAAACATATCTGCTGCCTGAAAATGATTTCCCAACATCCTCGTTTCGTAATCACAGACAGGTAATCAGTAATTAAGACAAAAAATATATATTAAAAGAAATTAACAAAACCCAGTTGAATGAGACCATGGTATCTTGAAGAGACCAATGATTATCCAATTTTTTTCTTAAACAAACCTGTTGGTAGTCAAATTTAATCATAAAACCTTTTACTTTTTGGGTGGGTTTACGAAAATGTTAAAATTTGAAATTCAATGAAAATAACGGAGGAGTTGAAACTTTAGAATATATTCTTGTACGCCAACAAAAAGTGTTATCCAGAACAATTTTATAGAAAGAACACAACGATAAAAAATAATAAAATGACCACGATCGGGAGAATTTGAGTCTAAAATATATTTAAATATTGCGAACAAGATTACGACCAAACTAAGCGTTAGTTGGTTTGCAATCACGATTCTCACATAATGACCGTTTCATTTTCAATTGTTTATTAGGTCGTATAAAAGGATAATAAAATAATATAAACATGTACCATGCTGAGTATATAAACAATTCAAATTGTCAATTGTTGAATGGTTGAATTCTTGAAGCGTGATTTTGAGTTTGTGGGGGGTCGGGTGGGTTTCTTTAGCATTATTATTACTAGAAAATTTAAATTTTAAAATTTATACCTATTTATTTCATAAATTACAAAATTTAAACTCATCGAATAATAATAAATAATATAGTGAGCATCGTTTGAGAGTGATGAGCAAAAATATTCTCAAATAAAAAGAAAAGGGAGTGAGGGAAGGAATGTGATTGGTGGGGAGTTGGAAAGAATATCTATATTTTAATATCCTTGTTTAAGATGTAAATATTTCTATTTTAACTTAATAAAATTTATAGAGAAAAAACAAGGGTGTAGATAGTGAAAGAAAATAATATTACTTAATATTACAATTTTATTTTTTTCACTTTCTAAATAATAAGTCAGAAGGATGACAAGTTTGACATTAACTTATTTTATTATCATAATGATGAAAAATGTATTATGATTTTGTATAACGACGCAGGTTGAAATCCAGTCTTATAAGCTGAATCACGAGGGTTGGCATGATGGAGGGACGGTGGTGGGATTTTGTTTGGTTGACACGCAAGATCTTGACTAGGATGATTGGGACAAAGAGAGTGTAGAGATTGAGGTAGTAGTCACTGTACCAGCGAATCAAATCCACTCTCAGTCTCAGATGCCGACAGACGACAGTCCCATTCAATGATTCAATCATTCATCCCATGTTGCACCTCACTCTCTCTCTCTCATTGCTGCAGCGCGTCGTACAACCCGAAAGATCTTCTCCCTTCCTCGCACGCTCGCTCTCTGTCAGTCCATGAAACATGTCCTCCCCACGCGCCTCATTTCGCGTGCTTCTTTTTCTTACGTTTTCTTTGGTTGAGAACTTCTCGTACAAACAATAATAATTTCTTTTTAGGACATCAATTCATTGCCCACAAAAAAAAAAAAAAAAAAAAGATATCATTACATTT